ACTACTGCTATGGACCGCAAGCGCCTGCAGAGAGTGGTAAAGACTGTGGAGAAGATCACCAGGACTCCACTGCCCTCTCTGCAGAGAATTTACCACCGCAGGGTGTGTAGGAAAGCTGCCTCCATCCTCAAGGCTCCCACCCCCAGCACGGACTGTTCATACCCCTGCCCTCCAGTCAGAGGTTCAGAAGTGTGAAATGCAGGATTTCTAGAGTGAAAAACTCTTTCTTTCCCTCTGCCATCAAACCCCTGAACAGCTGACTCAGGATCTACCTCATGTAATTCCATCTGTACTGTTTACATACTCATTTTGCACATGCACAATTGTACACTCACTGCTGAGTATTTGCACTTCACACCTCCCACGTAGCATATATTCTCTCTGCATTATATTGTGTTCTTGTATTTTATTTGCTTCCTTCACTTGCTGCTTTAAAGTGCCTTAGATTTGTGATTTTACTGCCTATTTAATTTTGTGTTACTACTCATCTACTTTATATTTCACCTGTATTATGTGGCATTCATGTGGACAGCAAAGTAAGAATTTCATTGCACAGGGAAACACGTTTCCTAACTGTGCATATGACAAATAAACACTTTGATCTTTTACCTTGAAACCTACCAACCAACCCGGGCTTTTGTGTGTGGAGTTTGCATGTTCTCCACATGGCTGTGTGTGTTTCGTCCAGGTACTCCAGCTTCCTCAAACAATCCAAAGAGATGATGGTTACAATGGCTAGTGACTCTAAATTGGCCATAGGTATGAGTGGTTGTCTCTGTGTGTTAGCCCTGTGATAGACTAGCGATCTGTCCAGGGTGTACTCTGCCTTTCTCCCATTGCCAGCTGGGATTGGCTCCAGCCCTCCCACAACGCTCTACAGAATGAGCACTATAGATAATGGATGGATTACACCCCAAACTACTTGAATTCATACAGCTTCATAAAACAGGGAGAGAATATTCTTTTTTGCACATTCTCATTTCATCCCATCTCAATTCTCTGAAGTTTCTTCCTCATCAGAGCAGAGTACGTACACACACACAAACGCTCTTTCAGTTCTGTATGTAGGTTGTGAGTATGTGTGCATCTGCACTGCAGCTCAGCCCTGTGCACTTACATAATCAGTTCAAAGCCTTCCACTCCATTTTTCTATGTTTGTGCCAAGCAAGGCAGTTCAGGAGGAAATGGGCTTCTTGCATTGCTAGGTTTGCTCTAAGAAAGAAGCTGTGGGAGAGAGAAGTTACTTGGCTAGGAAACAGTGCTAAAATGAAGGCGTATTGATTTGTTTAGCTATCAGTTATTGCTGGAAGTGAGAGGATAAGGCACCTCAGATTCTTTGATTTACTAGCTGTTTTAAGATATTTATGGGACTGTTTACTGGCTGGGGAAGTGGGTGCACTAGTATATACTGTATATAGAGTATATATATATATAAAGAGAGAGATAGATAGATAAATAGATACCCAAGTGAGGCCAGACCTCATTATGCTTGACCCTGCCTACCTCCAATATGAGAGAGACAGAAACTAACAGGCCCATGCCTGCTCAGATGATGCCCGGGTCAGCAAGGTTTGTATCAGATGTTGGGGAACCAGGACAATCTGATGATAAGTGGGCTACTGGGCTATACACACCGACACACACATATGTTGTTTTCATTCCTTGTGGGGACTTTACATTGACTTACATTAATTTCCTATAGACTTATCCTAACCTTAACCATAACCACTGCTTGCCTAACACCTAACCCTGACCCTAACCTTAAACCATGTTGCCATCCTAAAATTCAGTGATTTCCTTGTGGTTGAATCCCCACAATGTAAGTGTGTTAACAGGTTTCAGTCCCCATAATGTAAGTAATACAAAGGCACACACACGCTCACTGGCCACTTTATTAGGCACGCCTGTACAATCGTATGCAATTCAATGTAACAACCCTTCCACCTTAACATCTGTGTTTATAAGCTCAAAATGTCTCAGTTTTTGGTGAAACTGTCATAAATGTATAAATTCAATGATATGTTTATTACTGAAGTCATAGTTAAAGGTGGTGTTGGGGAGGACAAGAATATAGAGACACCTCTAAATATAATGTAGTCCAGTACAACACCACCTTTAACTATGATCTCAATAATAAGCATTAGTGCTGTCAATCTCTGTAAAATATATATTTGCAATTAATTGCACGATTGTACATAGTTAATTCATAATTAATTGCAAATTAATTGCACATTTAAAAAAATCTGTCCTAAATGTACCTTAAAGGAACCCCAAAGTAACTGATTACTGATAGAAGTCCAGTAGTCTCCAGTGAGGCCAGTCGTGTTTGTCTGTCCCAACGCCTTCTCCATTTTAGCTTTCCCATCGTCATACAAATTCTGTATCTTGATTACAGTGGTGGGTTTCTATGTTCTGATTCATCATCTTATATAAGTAGTGGGTTTACTTTTACATCTTTTATCATGACCATGGGTTCTTTCTCTAAACTTCGCATCAGTATCAGTGCTGTATTTATTGCAAGGGTTGGAAAACAGATATGATTATTAAAGTGTTTGTCCAGGGCTTAAAAAAAAACAAACATGTTTTGGGTAACAGATAAGATAAAATGAGATAAGATAAAAGATAATACTTTATTAATCCCACAGTGAGGAAATTCCTGTGCCCCAGCAGCAACAAAGGAAAAGACAAGCACCAAACAACAACAACAACACACACATCGCAAAAAATATGAAGACAAACAAACTATAACCAAGTAAAGAAATAAAAAATAAAATAAAATACTGTATTACATGTATGCATATTTATGGTGCATTACCATTGAAATATATGAGCATAACACAGTCAGTTGACTGCTTCACAGTCCCCTTATAACTATACCTCATGTATCACTACAGTGATGTATTATACAGTCTAATAGCTGTGGAGAGAAACAACCTATGATAGTGCTCCTTCTTGCACTGAGGATGCTTCTAGTTTATTGGGTCATCTTTTTGTTGTTTTGCTAATGGGACAAGACAGTAGATAGACACATGCAGTGCATATGCAATGTTTAGACATCCAGAACTTGCTCTGCCCTTAAACACTGTGTTGATGACCCTGAGCCTTCCCTTAGTTATACTGCTATAGGCATAGTCTGGTGGGGCAACCCCCCCCCCCCAGGTGCTGTGCTGACCTCCTTCTCTCTCCTCTCTCTCCACGCATCTATATGCCACCATTACATGTCACTGTATGTCTCCTTTCTCCCATAGTGTGTCGTCTCACTCCCTGTACCTTTCTGCAGGTAGCCCTGGCTCTGGAGCTGTATATTTCTGATGAGCAGTCACCTGCCACATCAACCTGCCCAGTGTTTGATTGTTTGTTGTGTCTTGTTACTTTTCTTTTCTCCCTCCTCTATCCACTCACCCCAACTGGTTGACCATGTGTGGGATGTGCTGGACAAACAAGTCCAATCCATGCAGACCCCAGCTCACAACTTACAGGACTTAAAGGCTCTGCTGCTGACGTCTTGGTGCCAGATACCAGAGCACAGCTTTAGAGATCTAAGAGGTCCATGCCTCACAGATAAGAGCTGTTGTAGTGGCACAAGGGGAATCCAAACAATATTTGGGAGGTGGTTGACTGGTGAATATTATTAGTTACAACTGTGCTTTTGCTGCTCTGAGAAAGTTTGTTTTATTACACCTCATGGTCAAAAGGAGGGCAAAGAAGATTTCTGCAGACCCCTCACACCCTGGACACAAACTGTTTGAACTCCTCCACTCTGAACGGTGCTACAGGTCATTGTAGGTCAGAACAACCAGACTCAAGGCCAGTTTCTTCCCCCGGACCATCACTCTGATGAACAGTTAACCCATTTGTATATATAGCAAACACCGCAGTGCAATAACTTATACATGTAATTATTGTACATACCAAATAACTCATTTTTAACTTGTATATACATATGTACATATTTAAAAATATGTTTGTCTTATTTTTTTTTTAAATATGTTATTCTGTTTTTTATTTTGATTTATTTGGTGCACATCAGGGGCCATTCATCTAGAGTCAAATTCCTTGTATTTTAACATACCTGGCAAAAAAGTTTACGACTGATTAACTGATTGTATGTTTTCTATTCTTCACATGTTTGACATACTAGAAGAGTCTGCATTAAGGAATTATGTCTAAACTGGTTATTCAATGGTTATTCTGTTATGGTTTGTGGACTGGCTTCCTGTGTGGTGCTTTTATTTTGGTTAGTTTCCTGTCCTATATCACCTCACTTTCCCCAGCTTTACTCTGATCACAACCACCATTCATTGCTTCCACCTGCTGCTTGTTACCTCCTGGTCTTCAGTCTATATATCCTCCTGCCTTCCATCAGTCTGGTCACTAATCTCCATGCCTCGCTTGTTCCTGTCTCCTGTGCGCCCTCCCTGATAGCCACACCTGGTTGGTTCCTTTGTGTTCATTTTCTGTTCCTGGACACTTGTGAGTTTGATGTTCTGCTGCCTCGGTTTTAGATTCTGTATGTTTGTCATTCTGAGTTTGTTACCAGAGTTTAGTTTTTGGCTCCCTGACTATTCTATTAATCTTTAGTTCTGTCCTGTTAGGTAGTGTGCCCAGTACTTTACTTATTTTAAATAAAGACTGATAAACTGTTAGAACCAGAGTTTGTACCTGCATTTTGGGTCCTACCGTGTGTGAAATTTGGCATGTTCCATTGAAGAAATCTATATTTGTTCTCTGGTAAGAGATGTTTTTAGATCTAATTCTTCATAAGATGTTCATGTCATCTGTTCAGTAGCCGATTCAGAAGATGAATTTAATACATATTTACAGTTATTACCTCAGCCAAGGGTGGGGATAATGTTTTTGCCAGTATATGTTGTTTCGCTTGTTAGCAGCAAAACTAAAAAAAATAATGAACTTTGATTACATTTTTAGAGAGGTAGGGTATGGCCCATGGAACAGTTGCTTAGATTTGGGTGCTGATCATGTCATATAATTTAGATATGACTGTTTCAAAAACTATTAACCACTGACAGTGCTGCAAAGTCTGCTGACTGTATACGATCCCCCTTGTGGCCAAAGGGTGCAGCTGTTCTGCTGAGCACTCCAAGCACATACAGATCCTTGGTTTAGTGACAGCTGCCTGTTCATTGTCAGTGGAAACCAAGTGCTGTCACTCAGTACAGCCCAGTGAGGCGACAGCCCACAGCTGGAGAAAGATGCAGCAATAGCCGGGCAAGAGCTCATTGGTATTGCAGTATCTTGATCTCAAATAGACAGGTCAGATACTGAGCCAGGCTCAACGCTGTTATCATTTCCATCCATAGGCCTGGTATTATGATATTTTATTAAGCTTTGACATTTTTTCAGGTGTCCAAGTAACCACTTGGATTGAGAATATATGCTCAGTCTATCCAAATAATGCCAGTTTAGAATTTGTTCTGATGTTTTCAGAGATGCAAATACATGTATCTGACCAAACTAGCATTACTGGCAAGCAGCTACATCTTGTTCAGGGCACAGTAGTCTGTCAGTGAGGACACGGTGTTCCTGCTGCACACTGTAGCTGTTTTCACTGTCAGAACCTAATGAGCCGTACACCCCGTGCTTCTCTTATGTCACCTGGCCATAATTTCACAGGTTGACGTGGACCGTCCTACTTTGCTTTTCCACTGTTTTGTTTTTTTTTTTTTTGTTTTTTTATTTTTTGGTCGGCCTCTGTTTAGAGGAATGAGGGACTGCCCTCCTTTCTCACACACGCACACACAGCTGAGAAGAGGACATGAAGGATCACTCCACAGTGCAATAATTGGCAACAATATCAGACTGTAACCACTTTTACACTTGCATACTTTCCCGCACTATTGCCATTCCAAAGGATTGCCGATATCCCACCTTTGTGCTGTTCATCCAAATCAAGCTAAGGGCAGTGTAATTGTGAGCCAGCCTGTGAATTAAGAAAGCATTCCACACCAGAGACGAGACATTATGTTGCTCTGTGTCAACTGATGTAAATTTTGCGCTGCCGGTCTACAAACCAAAACAATGGCAGGAGAGAAGTGCAGATGTAGCTTTGCTGGCTCTTCAAGCACTTTTTTCCACTTCGTGCAAAATTGGTCAGTGTGTGCGAATGTCATGAGTAACTGCAATCAACATGTTCATGACATCAGGAATGCTTTGACCTATAAAGAGAAGCTGAGAACAGCTTGAGGCAGAGAGGTGTGCAGACTTCAGTCGCGGGTGATAGTGTTGCACACATATGTCACAAATGTACCACTTGGTCCCACACTGCCAGCTCACCCTTTCTATACAGATTGTGTCTCCCCTTTGTTTTGCCTCTGGTACTACCTCCCAAGGTGGACCAGAGGTGGAACTAAAATGGCCCACCATTCCAGGTTTGCACCTTGCACACAGAAAATGAGATGGAATAGAGGTGCACCAATCTCACCTTGAAAAGGCAGTGTCTAAGGGGCTTGTATGAGCAGTCTATCAAACAGCTGTTGAACAAGCAGAACACAAACTTGCAGAAATGTGACACCTTCACCACTTTGCCAGCGGTCCACTCACAGAAGTCCTCGTTTTACTTCTAAGCCAACCAATGTCTGTCATGTCTATCATTTTCTTTTGAATAACTGTCAAACTCATAATGATATCAGCCTCGTTCCAAACCCCAGCAGTATGTCTTCATGGTCATATTATGGAGTCAAACTATCATGGGAATATTGCTCTTATGGCATTGAGGAAACTGAGTTGCCCATTGGTGGATGTTTGCATTATCTGAGTGCAGTCTAGTTTATTATATATTTTGAAATGTGTATATAATCTTTAATGTCAGCCCTGTGATAAACTGACCTGTCCAGGGTGAAAGGCGGGGTTCCAGTGTCACCTGGGATTGGCTCCAGCCAATTTTTAAAATATCCTTTAGAGTAATCATCTTTGTCAGTTCTTAAATTTGATTATCATTTTGCATCGATTCCTGTTTTGTAAAAGACTTGGGGCTGTATCTATTTATACCAAAATGGCCAGTTATTAAACGTTCCTTTCAAGCTCAGAATACATTCAGTGGCATTGCAATATTTACCTTTTAACCCTAATGTCACCCTTATTAGGGTAACCCTAATTATAATTTGGGCAGCAGCCAGTAAAAAAAAAAAAACAAAACAACTTTTTAGTCAAAGACCCAACTGGGGAGACCAGATGACTGAGATTTACATTTCAGCTTGTCTTATTTTGCCCTCCATCACCAACAGGGCCTGTTCTTTTGTGCTGGGAAATTTCTTGTCATTCTGCGTTGTCTGAAGTGGCTACAGACAAACCAAAGTGCCATTTGTCTTTTTAATTAACTTTTCATAAGGCACTTTTTTCAGAAGCTTTTAAACTTTCAAGGTCTAAATTAATGTGTTAAGGTTGTAGTACAGATTAGGAGTGCAAGTAGGCCTACATGTTCATCTTTTCATGGTTCTCCCTAACCACTGCCTATTTCTCTTTAACAAAGGGGGAAAAAATTAACAGAGGGGATGTTTTTCTCTCAGCAACTGGCTTGTTTACTTACCATCTTTAAATTCTATTCAGTGACTTTGACAGCATTACAATATTGGCAAATCAGTAAACAAAATGTATGCATTGGTTGTATGCTTTCATTTGTTTTCTTAGGTTTGTCAGAGTAATGGGAGGAGCAAGTGTCCAAAAGCTATTAAACTGTGTACATACTATGTCATGTTACTGGAGAGAACAGCTAGAGAGTGGAAAAGAAGTAGATTAAAAAGGTGAAGCAATGACAACAAATAGAACATACTGTGTTAATATGTTTACATGTTTTACAAGTTATGTTTAGTGCTTGTCTGGCCATGTATTTGATAAAAAGTAAATATACTGTTACAGCTGGGGCTGAGGAGGTAGAGAGGGCTGTCTTTTAAACACGGGGTTGGCAGTATTATTTTGTCCAGTGTGTAAGCATTTAGTTGTCCAGCACTGCATCTGGGATCAGACTTGGGCCAGTTGAAGGGACCTGAGTGCACACATGGTGGTCCGCTCAGATGATGGCACCTGAGAGAGCTGTGTATGGCTCTGATGCACTGATCCAACTCAGATAAATCTGGTCCAGCCCTCATCTAACCATCTTTAATTCAGTTGTGTGCCCTTCTCTTTATTGTGTTCACTGAATGAGTAAGAGCGGCCCATGCGTCACTTTTCTTATTTTATATCCACAACTGATGCTATTAAATATGGCAGCGCTACTTCCTCTTCTTTATGATTCTTGCATTTTTTACCCTGTGAGATGTAAATCACTTTCCCCCATTCTTTTAATACAATCATTTCACATTTTATTCTTACACATCCACTGATTATTTCAACAAACACACATATAAATCATCTTATGATTATCTTTACTTATTAAAAGCTTAATTTTTCTAAGCATTCTGCCACAGCATTTTAATAATTCCTTTGTCTTCTCCAACCTCCCCTGGAACTTCCTCATTCTCCTCTGCCTTCTCTGTATCTTGGTGCTTTTTCAGGCCCGTTTTTACAGCCTTGCTGACAGTTGTTCTCCACTTCATAACTATTCGCATCTTTCTTTGGTTTGGAGTTCATTGCTCCACTGTTAGATTTTCATGCCTGGCTTTCTCAGCTTCTCTTTTCCATTTCTGTGCAAGATTCTTGTGTGCTCAGGCCCCACAGTCTCATGCCCTTTTCCTTCATTGGCTGGGCGTTAGCCTATGCTAATTGGAATGACTGGTGCATACTTTTCAATTTACGAACACATGGGATTCATAAATATAAGAACACAGGTGTGAACAATTCTGTGGTTTAAGAAGTCACTTATGAATCAGATGTACTGTAGACTTTTCTTAAGAACAACTTGTAAACAAATTTTAAAAAATGTTGAATGTCCAGACCCAGTGCGTGGAAATCTTAATGTTGCCTATATCTGGTTAAACTTTGGCTATGAACTCTAAAGGCTAGGTTCAAAGCCACTGCTTGGAAGAACACGCTCTTTGCATAAACTGTACTTAATACAATAAGTACTTTTTAAAGTACTTAACCTCATATTGGTAATCTTTTTGCCTCAGTCTTAAACAGGACATTAAAAACATCAGACCACTTGAGATAGGGATTTGAGTTTTGTCAAACAAATGTGCTGAGATTTGACATGTCACCATAACCTAAAGGCAGCAAAGTTGTCAGCAGCTCAGTCCTTTGTGTGCTTTACCGCCAAACACAAGGTCAGAACCACAACTCCACACAGTGCTTAGCTTTTTAAGACATAAAGATTAATATCCACACTGTGCTATATGATGCATTCCTTAAAAAATCACAGGGGTTTAAAGTGGCTGCACCAATATCATTACTTTTTTGTTTAAAGGGGATGTAAATTCTTCTCCCATAAAACTGGAATATATTCATTTACCATGCAAAATGAGAGACATTATCATTTTCAGTATTGATAAGCTTTTAGTCATCATGCGTTTCAAGCATATAATAATCATAATTGCTGTGGCTCATATAAACACTAATGCACACTATCTGGAAGTAAATGTCAAAAAGACATTAGACATGGACTGTATTTTCAGCCAATTCAGACAATCTTCAATGGTGAAAAATACCAAAAGGAAAAATATGATTTTGTTGTTATATTCCTCTATTAAGACATAACTGATATGCATTCATTTTAGAAGTAATCTAAGGACAAAGGTCCTTGAATTTGATCATGGTTGGCACCGGAACTCAAACAAGCAGCACATTTAAAATAAAGTCAGGGGTTGAATATGTCTCCAGGTGAGTCTTATTTTACTGCTAGTCAGATCAAATGTAATGACCTCGTTTGGGGAATTTCTTGGGTGCAAATATATTTTTCACCATCCGCACCCATACAGCAATTTTGTGTCAACACTGGGCTGTAATGTGCAGGGAATGGACTGAAGGGAAGTGTGATCTGGCATAATTTGTCAGTGTCTTCCACAACGGTTTCAAATCACTGGTGAAAAATAAAACGTTTTCAGATCTGATATGACTACAAATAAAGTTTAGTTAGGGTTGGGTAAATCTGGAAATTTTGGGGATAAAATGCCCACTTCATTAAGGTTAGAAGATCTTTGTCATAAAATAACTAGTAGGTTATGTTTATAGAATAATCGTAGTTATGGTTAACAGACACCAAATTGTGAGTAGTAGCATCAGTAATTCCTCGTATTAATGTCTCGTGTTTTCTTGTCCCTTCCATCCACCCTGTTCTCAATCTGTGCAGGATTTCTTGTCATCACAAAAATTTTCAAGGCAACAAGGACAGAGCCAGGTTGGCGTTAGCCACCCCCCGCTCTCCAAGTCTTCCAGTCTAGACCCTTTTCCGGCCAGATTGCAGCATGCATTGGGTAGGCTAATTATAACTGCTAATTGCTTAAAGTACTGATGGGTGGATAAATGTGTAGTTGGACACTTATCATAATAAAAGCTACCACATTTTGTAAGTAAACACATGATTGGAATAACTAGTGGCTATTTGTCAATTTAATGTAGTGGAGTCTATTGTACAATGTTTGTCTGAAAATGGACAACTCTCACAGTCCACCCCACTACTCCTGTCCACTTTGTTAATAAATCCACTTCCAATTTCTATATCCATGCCATCAAAACACATCATACTGACATAAATAGATACACATGGCTTCCACACAAGTAAATGATATTTTTCATTTAACATGTTTCCATTGTCAGCATTTATCATTCTCCTTTCATTTGTAAACTTGACAAGCAAGCTGCACTATTAATAATGATTTAATGAGCAGTTTGTTTATAGCCACTAGACAAAATCATTGCATCAGTGTCAATCCTTTATTCATTTTGCTGGTTCTGACTTGTGTTGTCCAGTGACACTTTTGTTTGTTGCACAACTGCTTTTTTTTCTCAAAACATATGGCAAACCCTTCTATACAAATAAATGTTGTACTATATAAAGACACTGACATTTAATAATACAGTTTAGCCTAAAATACAGTCATAAATTTGGGGAAATCAAAGGGGGTGCTCCATTATTTTCTGTGATGTGAGTTTCCTTCTGTCTAGCAAAGCTTCTACCTGATTGTTACAGATACTGTATCCCTCCTTCTGTCCACAAGTTCCACATGAAATCAGTGGTTGGACCTTTTTGTCCATCTCCTGAGAATTCCAGCTAAAGGTAATTGAACTGTCTTGCCTTCAAGTATAGTATCTGCAAAATCAAACCTCTACTCACCCTCCCTGATTTATTTTATTTTCCTGACTCCGCTTTTATTTCATCATTTTGGCCGCCTCCTGTTGTATGTTTGCTCAGCCCCAGTGTGTTAGGGTTTTGCACTTGCTTCGTGTTTTGTACTTATTTTGTAAGGGTTTTGTGTCATCTCACTTTTCTCAGCTTTACTTTGGTCCTTCATTATCACTAATTGCCTTCACCTGTTGCTTGTTGGCTCCAAGTCTCTAGCCTTTATGTTCTCCTCACTTCCCCCAGTTAGCTGCTGGTTCATCTGCTCACCACATCATTTGTTGTTCTGTATATCTCTCCTGTTTTTTTTCCACCTAGTAACTCTTAGATTCATTCTCCTGCCTCACGTATGGGCTTTGGACCTACCTGTCATCCTGTTTAGGTTTTGTTTGTTCGTTCCCTTCAGTTTTTGGATTTTAGTTTTGTTTATTGTTTTGCTCCCTGCCTGAGCTGTCTCACTGTAATTTTCAGTAGACATCTTTGTTATGCTTGTCAGGTTGAACCCTGGGAGTTATTTGTCTCTGTCCCGTATTAATTATATAAAATCTACTACATACTATTCCTCAGTCTGTCTGCATTTGGGTCCTTCCCAACCTGAACCTTGACACAGGCAGGCAACCAAAGTAGTTTTGTAGGCTGACTAAATCAGTCAACAGATATCCTTAAAAATGTTTCCTACAGTCCAAAGCCTTTGAGTGATTGTACCCATCATACTGCTAGTCATGCATTTGGGTTCATTGTACCTCAGACTAATGTGGTATGAGTTTCAGTACAAAACATGAAGTGGCCATGCTGTTAGATCAAATTACCATGTCAGCATGAATCGCATCTGTCTGTGCTAACTAGTTTTTCTTTGTAGGTGTATGAATTATATATGTTTTTTTAGTATCTAATCAGCAAGAAGCAGGAGTCCTCTATACTGTAGAAGACCTTGAATGATCTGTAGCATTTCGAGATGGTGTTGCCCATTATTCATTGAAAATATCTCCCAAATTGAACTGCTCTCCACCTCTCTGGTTCTTACTGGCTTACCCCTCGGTTACTCCTTCACCAGACACTTGAAGTCTGCCTGGGCACTTGCGTAGTGAACTCCATCGCTTGATCATTTGAAACATAGGAATCACAGTGGTTGACAAGTTAATGGTTAGCCTATGTAATTGTCATAGGGATGGTATGTGTCTTACTTCATTGATTGTGAATGTTGTGTTAAGGCACTATTCATTCTTACCTGATATGAAGTTCAGACAGGTTGATTGTGACATCTTTGGGTCTACGAATGCTATTTGAGTTAGTTTCAGAATCAGTTTCTTTAGCGTGTATGGTTAAAGGTGCTGCCACATTTTGTCTAAAAGATGTGGCACAGCCGTGAATGACTGATTTATTTTCAGTAACTAAACAAACTTCATAAAGCAATTCTGAATGAACATTTCATCTGGTACTTTTTCATTCAAGATAAGAGAATGAAACAAAAGTGATTAATAGCTAATTAACTTAAGTGGCAACTGACTGGTGCAATAAAATAGGCATATTTAATATATAATGTCAGAGTGGACGTTATGTAACATGAGGTGGAACTGGTTAGGCAAGTAGTGGGTATGGTTAGGATAACTCTACAGGAAATGAATGTAAGTCATTGTAGAGTCACCACAAGGAATGAAAACACTGTGTGTGTGTGTGTGTGTGTGTGTGTGTGTGTTTAGCAGGATTACAGAGAAACGGCTGGATGGATCATCAGCATACTTGGTACAGACATTGTTGGGGACCAACCCTAGAAATGATTATTTTGGCTGAAAAATGTCAAAGCTCAAGGTCACAAAAAAATAACAAAAAAAAAAATCACAAAAATTACCAGCTTAACATGGGGCAACATTTTAAAACACCCATTTTTCCATCAAAAGTTATCAAAATCGTTTTTAGTTTGAAATTTGGCAATGCCTATCACCAGACCAAATTTCATCTGGATCTGATCCAGATTCTGGATCTGACAGTCAATTAAAGTTAACATTTATAACCCCATTTAATGCGTTTTGAAGACAGAACCCTGAAATGTTAAGGTAAGATGCACAGTATAACTGTCATACCCTAAAAGATGATCCGGATCTGATCCTAATAAAGGATTTTAGGACACATTTTGTGTTGTTCTTGATCTCATTTGTCACAAGGGACCCATTTGCATGATCAAATGTGCCTTGTACTACTCAAGCTGTTGGAATGTAAATGTGTTTATAGTCATACTGTGGAGAATGAACATCATTGTGGGAACAAGCAAGTCCCTACAACATAAGCCACAAAACTTTAGACTTGGTTTAGGGACAGGGTAAGTGTTAGGTGTTAGGCAAAGAGTGGTTATGGTTAAAGGATAAGGCTGGTCATTTTCTACATTAATAGTTTTTTCAACAATCCCCAAAACAGAGACTAAAGCCAACAATCAATTTCCTCTACTCACTGAATGTCTGTTAATCTCTAACCTCGATAAGCATCTTTGGCTGTGCGTAGACCTCCTGTTATTCAAAAATGATTGAAACACATCAGTGAAACACACTGCTAGCCAGCTAGCTAAATCTAGCCACAGGGCTTTCAAGCCAGTGATTTCTGTGCCAGTCCCAAGCCCAGATAAATAGAAGGTTGTGTCAGGAAGGGCATCCGAAGTAAATGTGGAAAATTTAAACATTCGAATCATCAGTGTAAATTCCATACCAGCTCGGTTCAGGCCCAGGTTAACGACTGCCACCAGCAGCAGTTGACCTACAGGGTGCTGGCGGAAATTGGACTGTCGGTTGAAGAAGGAGAGGAGGTAGAAGGGTTCAGAGAGAGAAGAGGAAAGGCAGGAGTATAGGTCTGAGAATAGGGACTCTTAATATAGGCACAATGACAAAGAAAGGTAAAGAGCTGTGGACATGATAGAGTGAAGGAAGGTAGACAGGAGGTGTGTGCAGGAGACCAGGTGGAAGGGTAGCAAAGTGCGAAGTATTGGAGGGGGACACAAACTGTTTTATTATGGTGTGGACAGGAAGAGAAATGGGGTAGGAGTGATCCTGAAGGAGGAGCTCGTGAGGAATGTCTTAGAGGTGAAAAGAGTGTCAGACAGGGTGATCAGTTTGAAGTTGGAAATTGAAGGGGTAATGTTGAATGCAGTCAGTGGTTATGCTCCACAAGTAGGGTGTGAGTTAGAAGAGAAGGAGAGATTCTGGAGTGAGTTAGATGAGGTGATGGAGAGTATTCCCAGAGGGGAGAGAGTGGTGATTGGGGCAGACTTCAAAACAGGCACGTTGGTGAGGGGAACAAAGGTGATGAGGAGGTGATGGGCAGGTTTGGTGTTAAGGGAAGGAACCTAGAAGGACAGATGGTGGTGGACTTTGCTAAGAGGATGGAAATGGCTGTAGTTAACACCTATTTCCAGAAGAGGGAGAAACATAGAGTTA